GTGGCTGTGTGGCTGTGTGACTGTGTGGTTGTGTGGCTGTGTGACTGGGTGACTGGGTGACTGTGTGGTTGTGTGGCTGGGTGACTGTGTCGCTGTGTGGTTGATGGATGGGTGGCTGGGTGACTGTGTGGCTGTGTGGCTGGTGTATGGGTGGCTGAGTTGTTGTGTGGCTGTGTGGCTGTGTGGCTGTGTGGCTGGGTAGCTGGGTGGATGGGTGGATGGGTGGTTGTGTGGCTGAGTGTCCGGCCCTGGCATTCTCCCTCCTTCTCCTTTCCTCGCTCCTCTCCTCTTTTCTTCCCCTCCTATTTATTCTCTATATGGCAGCCCCATCTATTTTTCTCTCCTGCTTTGCTATTGACCATTCAGCTCTTTATTAGACCAATCAGGTGTTTTAGACAGGCAAAGCAACACAGAGTCATTGAGTTAAACAAATGCAACTTAAAAGAATGCAACACATCTTTGCATCATTAAACAAATATGTCCCACAGCGTAAGTGAATGTAACACATCTTCAGCTAAGATTCCACAACACAGGTGCACGGAGATTCCCAATGGAGTCTGCGGAAATGGAGAAGAAAACAAGGAGCTGTGAGGCTGAACGTGAGTGACATCATCAGCCCGCCAGAGTCCCCACCCGGCTCCGCCATTGTCAACTTGGAGCAAGTGACTTAACTTCCCAAAACCTTAGCTTCACTTTTGAGGTAGGGACAATGACATGACCACATCATAGGGTCCCCCAGTAGGTGTTCAGATGTCTCAACTGTTGCTTCGGCAGCTGTGTGGGGCATGCCATTGAGACACACGGATGTTGAATTCAGAGTTCCATTTGAATTTTCAGTGAGTCAGTTTGTGGTTTTTATCACACAAACTGTAGAATGGGGGGGGCTTGATAAAGCTGGTCTGGCTGGAGGGCTATGGGGAAAGCGGAGCAGGAGAGCATTGAGAGGAGAGCGTGATGGTGAAAACTCGCTGTGCCAGTGGGACAGGGACTCATGTCACCCAGCACCACAAGCTGGGTATGCCAGCATGGCCAGGCTCCCTCTGAGGGTGGGTGCCAGCCCTCTTTGCCTCACATGAGCTCCAGCGGTGACATCCTTGGCTCAATGTTACAGCATTCCTCTGCCTCTGCTGTTCTGTGGCCTTGCCCTCACATTTCCAGATTCTTTTCAGGATACCAGTAAGGTTAAATTAATACATCATGAGTTCACTCTACTCTGGTATAACCCACCTTGACTGATTACAGTTGCAGTGAACCAGTTTCCAAATGAGCCCACAGTTGACAAGTCAACATAGATTTAGGGGCTGGGGGACCCACAAAGCTTCAAACCATGAATTACAGACTTGAATTGTAACTTCCAAGCTAGGCACTTTGGAAGGGCATGGCGGTCTGTCTTCTCACACAGTTCAGGTGAAGCCCCAACACCTCGGCCACCACAGCTGTTCTTCAGTGCCACAGCAGGAAGCGCGGCCCCATGGCTGTGCAGCCAATACCGCCATCTGTCTCCCCAACCTTCTCATCTTCCCAAATGAAAGGCCTGCTCCTGAAAACATTATGTTCTCACACACACACACACACACACACACACACACACACACACACACACACCTGCCCTCAGCCATCGCCCTTCTTTCTCTCTTAACTACCACTATTCAGTTACCTCCTGTGAATGGAAGAAGCCATTATATGCAAGTAAACTCTCCCACACAGGCCCAGGTACTGGGGCTTGGTTGCCAGCTTTGGGATCCATGCAGGCTCTGACTTCATGATCAGATTAACCCTTTGATGGATTCACAGTTTGATGGTATTTGGGGGAAGGGATGGAAACATCGGGAGGTGGACTTGGCTGAACGAAGGAGGTTCCTGGTGGTATATCCCTTCTCCTGCCCCTTCCCTCCATCCACCTCCCTCTGGTTCTTGTCTGTCACGAGGTGAGCCACTTTGCTCCGTCCATGCTCCCTTCGTGCTGTTCTGTCCTATCACAGCCCAGAAGCAGCAGAGCAAAGGACGGCAGACTGGCTACATGACCTGGGACCAAATCCTAGTCTACAACCCCCTCCTTTGAGTTGTTTTTATCAGGTATTCTGTTGTGGTAACACGGAGATGGTGTTTTTCCTTATGTGACCGACTTATTCCACTTACCATGATGCCTTCAAGGTTCATACATGTTGTAGCATGTGTCTGAATTTCTCCCCTTTTCAGTCTTGCGTGGAAAAAGTGCATTTAGTTGGTTCTTTCCTCTGGAAGTGGATCCCTGACCTGCTGGATGACATCTGTTACAAAGTATCTTTACTTTTAATGGACGCATAATAGGATAGTCATTGTGCATATTATGTATGTGGGGTACAGTGTGACATTTCCACACATTACATACAATATGTAACTGGTCTGTCCATCACCTCAGGCATGTCTTTGTGCTGGGAACAAGAATCTTCTCTCTTAGCTGTTTGGGAATATTTAATTGACTGCTGTCATGGTTAATATTGTCAGCTTGATGGGACAGAGAACTGCTGAAGAGACAATGCCTCTAGGCACGCTGGGATTTTCTAGATTGGGTTAGCTGAGGAGTGAAGACCCACCCTAAATGTAAGTGGCGCTGGGGTCCTGAACTACATAAAATCAGAACACTCTGAGCATCTGCATTCATCTCTCCTTGCTCTCTGACAACCAAGGCCGCGTGTCTATCCACCTCGCTGTCCCGCAAACATGCCTGCCCACCAAGATGGACTACTTCCTACCAAGATGGATTACTATTTCTTTGAGTTATCAGCCAAATAAAACCTCCCTTCCAGTAGTTGCTTTTGTCAGAGCCACAGGAGATGATAGGTAGGGTGACATCTTTTCTCAGAGTGCCACTTTAGAGAGTTGGAGGAGACATGTCTGTTGATCACCCCCTGAGTACCTTTCTTCCTTTCTGGTTCTTGGGAGCCTTTTGAAATTGACAGCCTGGTAGACTTCGCCGGAAGAAACCCAGAAGGCACTCTGTGGGACCTGCAAGCAACGCAAATGGTCACCAACTTCAGCAGAAAGAGCATTTATTAAAAGAATGTTAGCTGGCTCACCAAATCTCCAGGAGGCAAAAAATAATCTAGGCTGTTAAGTTAGGTTGCCAAAAAAACAACTGCATGAGCTAAAAGCGTGCGGCAGATTTAGCTCCACCAAGACGTGGCTGCTGCCTCCGCGAAGCACAGTGAGTCAGTGGCATCCTGCCACCCATGGTCCCCTACATCGTGTGCTGGCCTCATCATTGACATTGTCACCCCCATGCTGAAGGCGCTTTCTGTGTCCCTGCCCTTTATGTCTGGTGTGCTGTGCCAAGGTCAAAAGCCCAGTGGCCAGCATGTGCCTGGAAGGTCAGGAAGAGACACACACAGCAGGGAATCTTCCCCAGGAAGGAACTCAGACACAGAGTGGCTAAAAAGAAAGAGATGCTTCAGTCTTTTGGTAGGTTCTCCTGCTCTGTCTGTAAGTGGCTGTTTTGGGTGGGTGGGTCCCTTCTGCGAGTCACCTCCCTATTCATCCCCAGAAGCCTTCTCCATCCTGTTCCACTCCCAAAATCTAGATGTCCCATGTCCTCACCAACACTTGCTCATATCATGTATATGTGTGGAGAGAGAGAGAGAGAGAGAGAGAGAGAGAGAGAGAGAGAGAGAGTCCGTGTGAACAGTCATCCTGATTGGTGGAAAGGGTCACTGTACCCTAATTTCCAACCTCTCTCAGCCTCACCTGAGTCTGTTCCTGAGGAGAATGTGGAAGGCTCCTTAAGGAGGGAGGCCGGTTGCCAGAGGAGCTGTCTCTGTATTTAGAAGCTTGAGGAGGGATGGGAGCTGAAGGTAGAGTTCACCTGCCACTGGCAGTGATGTGAACAAGTACATCAGTGTAATAGGACTTCTGTAACCATCTAAAGGGGTGCGGCTCAGAAAGGTGGATGAAGCATAGGGCTTCTAGATACTTCTGTCTCTCCCCCATCCTTCACGCGAGCGTCTCCATTGGCTGCTCTGAGGTGCAGTCTTACGATCACTCGGCACGTGTAAGTCAATTTGTTCGGAAGTCTTCTGAGCACACTAACAAGCTTGAAGGAGGACCCTGGGAGCCCCAATTTATGGCTCACCCCGAAGTCTAGTCCTGGGAACTGCAGTCTTGAGGGACAGAGCCTCCAAGCTGGAATTTTACACTAATTCCAGGTGGTTTCAGACCTGAATGAAATCCTATGGCATCAGGTTAGTGTCCGCAGAGAGGAAACAAATCAGCTGGTGGGGGAACTTCGCACGTCTGCTGTCAAAAGTGATGTGTGTGAGCGTAGAACAGCTAGTTTCCCCTCTCTATGGCCATTCCCCTGTCCTCCCCCACCCTGCATCAGCCCCAAACCTCCAGATCTATCTTAAAATAAACACCCTATGCTTAGTCCTCCGTGAGAGACCACTGATATTTTTAAAGACCAGCCTTGGAAGTTCCCAGAACATTCCTCCTTTTGCTGGCAACACAGTGAACTTTGAAAATCTGCATTAAACTCAGGCTGGGCCATGAGGTCTGTTGGAACCTGCTTCCCAGATAACACAGTCCCAGCTTCGGGTTACAGAGTCTCTGAGAACACAAATACATCAAAACCACCTCAAAAAAGAGCAGGCAATTGGAAAAATGCACAGGTCTCTGCCACAAGGCCACAAGAAGCCCCTGGGGGTTCCTTGTTCCTTATTTTCTGGTGCCATCAAGTGGTAGGTTTGCTTCTTCTTCTTCTTCTTCTTCTTTTTTTTTTTTAAATAGATGTTGCTTGGCAGGCTGTGTGGCCATCTATGCTCAGATGAGTTTGTGTCATGAAACACTCTATTTGGGGACTGGAGACATGGTTCAGTCAGTAGAGTGCTTCCCATGTAAGCAGGAGGACCTGAGTTTAGAACCCAGCCACCCAGGTTGATAGTCTATAATCCCAGCACTGGGGAAGAGAAACAAGAGGTCCCTGAGGCTGGACAAGAAGTGGAGATGATGGTGCAGAAAAGCAAAAATGTTTATCCACCCAAACTAGAAGGAACTGATAACACTTAACGCTCTAGGCAAGAGCAGAAGAATACACTTGTTGTCGTTAAACTATGGGGTGCGTCCTGAACTCGTGAGTAAGCTGTAGTTGCTGTTCTTAAAAAGTAGAATTGGGACTAGAGATTGGTTCAGTGGGTAGAATGCTCGCTTAGCAGGCCTGAAGGCCTGGACTCCATCCACCCCTAGAACTGACTGCATAAAACTGAACATGGCCATGCATGTCTGTGATGCCAGTAAGAGGAGTGGTCAGGAGGATGAGAAGTTCAAGGTGATTCTTGTCTGCATAGTGAGTCTGAGGCCACCTGGGCTACATAAGACTCTATCTCAAAACATAAAACAACAAAAACAAATAGTGGAATTTGCACACTTGTGTTGTTCCATACCTATAACCTAGAGTCTGCAACAGAACTGCTGTTAGTTCAAGTTCATTCTGGAGTACATAGTGAGCCACAGGCCAGCCTGGGCTCTGGAATAAGACCCTGCTGTTGTGGGATATTCACCAGAGAGGACTGTTTGAGTCGATAGAAAATCCTTACTAGCTGGTGGGGAACTACACTGGATGTTCAGTGGAGCCACAAACCTTTCTCAAGATGAGATTTTAAGCTCAGAAACCATGTCTGGGTTGACATGTTTCAGTTAGCAAGAAAAGTTAGCCAGAAGCAGAACTACAGAAGGCAAAAAAGCAAGGTTAGCGCTTTCAGAGACTTTCCCAGAACTGTGGGCTTCTATGGCCTTTGTTTTAGTTTTGGCAGGTGGTGCCATCTACATGCTATGGCCTGAATAGGACTTCCATCATGGAGTCTGTTGTGCTAAGAAATAGAGGCCTTCTAAGTTCTGGAGATCTGTTACACCTCAATAATGATGATGAAAAAATTGGAGGATGACAAGGCATGACTGCATCATGAGAATTTTTAGCTCTTGTTATAGCTTGGATTTGGGATGTCCCCTGAGGCTCACACATTGAAGGCTCACTCCCCAGCTGAATATGGTGGGAACTTTAAGAGTGAGGCTCAGAGGACAAAGGTCCCCAGGGGTGTGCTCTTGAAAAGGTATGTATCACTGGTCCCCTTGTCTCACTGTCCTGCTTCTTGGATGGGCCTGTTTGCTCCCTGCCATGGTCATCTGTCTTATTCTGGGTCCCAAAACATTATAGACACGTGACCATAGGCTGAAACTACTGAAACCATGAGCCTTCCCTCCTACGATTGTATTGTCTGACTATTCTGTCACTGCAAAGGAACGCTGCAGAAAACATTGCCACTGAGAGGCGTCATCGTCAAGACTTTTCTCACTGCTGTGTGTGGTGCAAGTCTTTGAAACTGGTGAGGGGTGGACATTTAGGAAGACTTGGAGATGCAAGGTAGAGAAAGCCTAGAATCCTGCTAGTGGAACTTAATAGGAGATTGGGGTGTGAGTTTGAAAGATCCGAATTCTGAAAGGAATATACACAGCAGGCCATGCTCACAAGGGTGAGACAGGAATGGACTCTTTTGAGAGCCAGGCTGGAGACCATCTGTGTTTCATTTGGGCCAGTACCTTGTCTACATTTTGTCCATGTCCCTGGACTCAATGAGGCTGAATTTAAAGATGACAAATTAGGCTGGGTGATGGTGGTGGTGCACGCTTTTAATCTCAGCACTCAGGAGACAGAGTCAGGCATATCTCTAATATGGGATTCCCCTCTGTATGCTGTGAATATGTTTTATTATCATTGGTTAATAAAGAAGCTGCTTTGGCCTGTGGCAGGACAGAATAGAGCTAGATGGAGAAAACTGAACTGAATGCTGGGAGAAAGAAGGCAGAGTCAGTGAGAAGCCATGTAGTCGCTGCAAGAGACAGATGCTGGTTGCTAGATGGAACCTCACTAGTAGGCCACAACCACATGGTAGTACCTAGATTAATATAAATGGGTTAATTTAAGATGTAAGAGCTAGCTAGGAATGTGCATAAGCTAATAGGCCAAGCAGCATTTTAATTAATATAGTTTCTGTGTGCTTATTTTGGGCCTGGGCTGCCAGGAAATGAACAAACAGCCTCTGCCAACAGATTAGCACTCACCATCTGGGACAGAGATCCACATAGACCTAAAAAAGCTTAAGGAAAGGAAAGAGGGCTTCTAGTCCCACAGAAACAGGAGTCAACTGGAGCTTGTTAGTAGCCGCATATTTTTAGGCAGGCTCTGTTTGCTGGTGGCAGGCAGAGGTACAGCTCCTTTAAGAGGTTTCCTGATTCAGCTTCAGTGGCAAAAGTTGCATGGTTTCTTTCAGATCCTGCTTTCTGGGTCCTGCTGGCAGAATGAACTCTGGCTACTTCAGGAAGCCCTGCTTCAAATGGGATTTATGAGCAGAGTGATCCAACCTGCTTAATGACAACATAGACCCTGCTATGTGCCCGAAAATGGGGCTGTGAGCATGGTTCCCAGAGGCAATGAATAAACCTCCGCCATGTAGGACTGATTCCCAGAGGTGGTGAAAAACCTCCACCATGTTGGGCTGGGCAGAGCCAAAAGACAAAGCAGTCTTAGTCCTAGCCATGCTGCTTAGCATTTAAGAAGTGATCCTGATCAGAAAAGGATTACAGATACACAATAAAGACAAATTCAGATGAAAAAGACCTCTAAATGGGTCACAGTGATTAAAAAATGTATGTAGGCTTGGGAGAGAGAAGAAAAAGAGTAGAGAAAGTTATAAAAAGAAATAAATGGTTTTTTAAAAAATAAAACAAAGTCTTTAAAGAGACAGAGTACAGACAGTCATAGATTAAAAGAGTAAAGAAAAATAAGCCATGTAAAGATGAAATATACACAGAGAGTCTAGATTATATATATTATTGTGTTTTCATTAAATTTTTTGACTGTGAATGAGCTAAGTACAGAGACATTTCATTGTACAGACTTCTAAGCTAAACCAACATAAATACTTTAAAGGTATCTTGACTTCAAAATTTGGGACTAAGGAGATATTGCTTTGGAAAAGAGGGTCTGCTTTTGTTTCCACAGAGAATGAGAACCTGTGGACTTCTTCCAGACTAATATGGTTTGATAGACCAGGATCCCCTGAAAGGTCTCCATGAACCCCAAAATTACTTTGCCCAACAAAAAGCAGGAAGCAGTTTGGAGAGAACTATGCCCAAATTTCCAAAATTTTTTTATAAATGTTTGTTTACATTTAAAGCAGGGATATTCTATAGAGATGAATACTTTGCATTGCTATCATTCTTGGTTTATTGATACAAATTTAAGGTCAATTTTGTTATACTTCTGCTCTTGATTAAGGTATTGTGTTTGTACAGATCATTTTAAAATGTAATGTATAATTAAGAAATGTGTTAATACTTAACCGAAGAATGGATAAGGAAAATGTGGCACATTTACACAATGGAGTACTACACAGCAGAAAAAAATAACGACATCTTAAATTTTGCAGTAAAATGGATGGGGCTAGAAAACATTATTTTGAGTGAGGTAACCCAGACACAGAAAGACAATTATCACATTTACTCACTCAAAGGTGGTTTTTAAACATAAAGCAAAGAAAGCCAGCTACAAACCACAATCCCAGAGAACTTAGACAACAATGCAGACACTAAGAAGGACATACATAGATCTAATCTACACGGGAAGTAGAAAGTAGAAAAAGACAAGATCTCCTGAGTAAATTGGGAACATGTGGACCTTAGGGGAGGTTTGAAGTGGGGAGGAGAGAGGCAGGGAGGGGAGCAGAGAAAAACGTAGAGCTCAATAAATATCAATAAAAAATAATAAAAATAAATATGTTAATAGTCATCTATAATAGTCAAGCTTGTAGTCATGTTAGTTAGATTTTCTAGATGTACAGAGATATAGTTTAGATGGATAGATATTCTTCAAACCTTTCAAATGCTAACAAATTATGGCATTTAAATGTTTTACGAACTTAGGACTTTCCATGACAATGAGACACATCTGCTCCTGGCATCACCAATTTACTTCAAGAGGATGATGGGCATTGAAGAGGCTCCTTATGAAGTTTGTTAGATATTTGGGCAAGAAACTGCTCTTGCCTGGACTGCTTGATGTTATGCTGTATAAACTGAACATTCAGGACCCACAGAAAAATGACTGCTGAAGTCACCTAAAGAAGGTGATACAGTCCTTCAGGGTTCCTACTTCTTGAAAGAGTCTGCCAGACATTCTACAGAACACAGAAGAAAGTGACTGACAAACTGCCAATATAGGCAGAACTGTCTTTGAAATTTCCTGCTTCATGGAAAAGTCTGCTGGATACTATGGGCCTGTAGGCTGAAGATGGGTGCCCCAATGATACAGAAGAACTTTAGGTGACTGTCCAGGCAGCAAGATGTCTCTGTCAATTCTGGAGTTTCAGAAGTTGCTTACAATGCACTTTGAATTTACTTAGGTAATATTATATACCCTTCTGGAGTCTTTGATGGAGTTGAAAAACAAATAGTTATAGTTATAGTTTTCCTTAGCTGTGATAAAAGATAAAATAAATATCAATATTGTAACTGTAATTCTTGCTTGATATCTGTTTTGGTTTTTTAATCATCTGACATTTTAGTAACATTATTTTTTTATTTTTTAATTTTATTGATTTTTATTGAGCTCTACATTTTTCTCTGCTCCCCTCCCTGCCCCTCGCCTCCCCTTCAACCCTCTCCCAAGGTCCCCATGCTCCCAATTTACTCAGGAGATCTTGCCTTTTTCTACTTCCCATGTAGATTAGATCTATGATACCTGTTTTGTTATATGTAATTTTACTATGTTAAAGTTAAAACCTTAATTTTTATTTAGACAGAAAAGGGGAGGTTATGTGGGATTCCCCTCTTCATGCTGTGAAAATATTTTATTATCATTAGTTAATAAAGAAGCTGTTTGAGCCTGTGGCAGGACAAAATAGAGCTAGGTGGAGAAAACTGAACTGAATGCTGGGAGAAAGAAGGCAGAGTCAGTGAAAAGCCATGTAGTCGCTGCACATGCCAGACAGAATCTTACCAGAAGACCACAACCACGTGGCAATACACAAATTAATAAAATTATTATAATAGGATTATATCTTAATTAAGATGTAAGAACTAGCTAGGAATATGTATAAGCTAATAGGCCAAGCAGTGTTTTAATTAATATAGTTTCAGCGTGATTATTTTGGGTCTGGGCAGCTGGGAAACGAACAAGCAGCCTCCGTCTACAGATCTCTGTGAGTTCAAGAGCCTGGTCTACAGAGTGAATTCCAGGATAAGCTTCAAAACTACACAGAGAAATCCTGTCTAGAAAAATAAATAAATAAATAAATAAATAAATAGAAAGAAAGAAAGAAAGAAAGAAGAAAAGATAAGAAAAGATGACAAGTTAACTTATTTGGCAAAGAGAATTTTAAGAAAGCACAAATAGTGATATAGATATTTCTGGTTGCTTTTAGCCAAATTTATATTAAGAATAATAGGCAAAGACATGGTGGGGAGACTAGAAAAACTTGCACTTTGGTCCAAAAGACCCTCATATAAAGATGGGGGCCAGGCCAGCGAGCCAACTCGAGTAGAGTACAAAGGTGTCCGAGCAAGCCTGGACCCGAGTGCAAGCCCCAGAACTCACGGTGGCCGGAGAGAACCAACTCCTGAAAGTTGTTCTCTGTCCACACACATACACATGTGTCCAGACTTACTCATACACTTCACACACATACATACACACACATGAACACATACATGCATATACAGATAATGAGAATTACTGTTATTATAATTACTATTGTTCTCATTATCACCACACAATATAAAGAGAGGCCTGAAGTGCCAGGAGCTGCAAGTGGTGACCTCTGACCCACAGTCAAGGCTTGCCCGCGGTCCACTTTCTTTCTGTCTGCTGACCGACTGCAGTACTTTCTGTGAGGCCTGTGGCTGGGTCCCCTCCTTACCTGCTTCCGGGGACTGTGAAATAAGTATCTTCCCTCATGACAGTCATTCCCGTGTCTCCGTATCTTGCATGGCTCACTGAAGCTAGTCCTGGGGGTTGGCTATAATGGAAGTTAATTCCAGGGCCGGGAGGCTGAGGAAGAAGGATCCCAACTTCAAGAAAATATTTTAAAGCAAAAGTACAACCGTGAGAGTAGAATCTGGGCATGGTGGCACACGTTTGTGATGCTAATACCTAAGAGGTGGAGGCAGGAGAATTAGGAATTCAAAGTGAACTTGTCCATAGGAGACCTTGTCCATGAGCCAACAAACTCAGAGAGTATTGAAACAAGGTCCCATCAGCTTTGCCACATAGTATTAATTAGAATGGAGTCAGATCCCCCCACACACACTTAAGGAGGAGGGAGCACAAAGGCTGTGACTCACGTGGAGGGTGGATTCTTCCACAAATACCATCGACTTTTAAAAAAAATTCTCACGTAGGACAGGCAAGATGTCTCAGAGAAGAGGCACTTGCCACCAAGCCTGACAACCTGAGTTTGATCCCCGGGACCCACACGGTAGAAGAGAACAACTCCTAAAGGCTGTTCCCTGAGTTCATGTGTGCCATGACACACATGTGTGCACACACTAGCTGCTAGAGCTAGCTAGCACCGCCATCTTTCCTCAAAGCCTCTTTCCTTCCTCCTTCTTCATGTCTCAGGAAAACAGGACGCCGCTACAGCCCCAAGAAAGGGCCAGCATCTCCACGCTCCACTCCCCAGCCAGCATTACCCTGGCAACACCACTTTTTAGTCTACAGACCACTTCCCCACATGTAGCCCTGATCATCACGTCTTCTGGCCATCGTCTGTAACAGAGAGGTGGGAAGGGTCATTATCTGCGTGGGAATAAACCAAGAAACCCCGTGGTACCTGTCCCGGCTGGTGCGCTGAGAGCTGATGTCTGCAGGTTTGCCCTCCACCTGTGCGGAGAGCAGAGCTACAGGAAGCGGAAGTGAAAGGGATGGTAGACAGAAAGGCTCTACAACCAGAGCGCTGGGGCGCGCTTCCAGCTCACTAACAACCTGTAAGTGATGGAATGTCAGGCTCCTATTGGGGCAGATCGGGATAGCTCCCCATTAGCCAGGATCTGATTCAAACTACCGAGAGTGTCCAGTGATCATTGGTTTGATTGACAGGTCTCAGAGGAACACTGGCCCCGCCCTCTGCCCTCGGGGCTTGCCAGCAGGAATCTAAATTTCACTGGCCAGATATGAGTCCAAAATAAGACCCTGAGAACAGACTGGTGCCAGACTGGTGTGGGCTCTTTCAGCCTTCCAGAACCTTCTTGTCTGCTGGACAGAGCCTGTGAACCAGCAGAAATACCAAGCCCTAAGGGAAGAGCGAAAGATCACCACAGTGGCTTCCCACCGGCTGACCGTGAGTGCTCCCCCTTGCCCCTTCCAGAAAGATCTCTGTGACTGTATACAGGAAGCCTTCCTCCTCCCCAGGCCTCTGCAAAGAGGGCCACGGTGGAAAGAGAGAGAGTCTGTTCAGAGAAGCTCCCAAGGGCCACCTCGGGGCTGGATGTCCTTTGAAAGAGGGGTCTTCTGGTTTGCCTGCAACCACAGAGGCTCCCCTAAGAGCACTGTAAAAAGTTAAAAGGCCACCTAATGATCGTGTCCCATGTATGTGTGGGCATGCTCACAGGTGCATGCACAGCATGCAGGGTGCTGGGTCTGCACGCCCACTGAGTGACACTTGGCTTGGAACACTGAAACGGCCCCAGAAATAAAACGCGGCTCTGTTCTATTTTGCGATCTCCTACCAGGATATTGTCCTACAGATATGAGCACACTGAACTCCCGCAGAGCGTGTTTGAGTGACTGGATCTGAGAGCCAGGATGAGAGGTTGAGAGAAATCATTAGAAAAGACCAACATAACGTGTTCTGGATGCCTGGCTACAGATCCAGACTAGGGTGAGGGAAGCCTGCAAGGGCACGCGGGGCTATCGGGGGCAGGTTCAGCAGCTCTGCCCACTCTGAAGGTGAGCTCAGCTTCACCCTGGAATGCCCTTCCCTACTGTGCCCTCCAGCCTCCTCTGCAGTGAGAACTGCAGAGTTAGCTACGGACAGTGTTGACTGAGGTATACATATCCACATCCAGACAGGAGGTTGGAGAGCGCCTGTCTACAGGAAATGGTATGGGTAGCAGGTTGGGGAACTGAGTTAGGGTCACAGAGCCCTACATATTAAATGACGGTGGTCTCCAACCTCACTGGGTTCCCTAGCAATCATATGGAATCAGCCAATCAGAATGCTTAGTATAATCCTACTTATTTGTTCTGCTCTCACTCTCTGTCTCTCTGTCTCTGTTTCTCTTGCCAGGAGCCATGAGATCAGAATTCTCTCTCTTTTTGGTCTTTTGGTTTTCTGAGACAGGGTTTCTCTGTACAGCCTTGACTGTCCTGGAACTCGCTCTGTAGACCAGGCTGGCCTTGAACTCTCATAGATCCACCTGCCTCTACCTCCCCAGTGCTGGAATTTAAGGCCTCCGCCACCACCACCTGGCTCTACTTTTTCTCTTAAAGTATACTTTGTTCCTATGACCAGAATATTAAGATGTACAATTGATGTACGTTCCTTTCTGTGTACTGATACGCTTGGATCCAGGCAGAGTGGTCAGTTTGGACAAGGCTACACAGTCAGACCCATTCCCTTATTTGTTCAGATGTCTATGGTAGCATGAGCTCATTTAACCGCTGCTCCGCATTTAGCACTGGGCTCCAGGCAGGGTGCTGCAAGTGACTTCCCTGGTGACTCCTGGTCCATGACGAAGACACCCTGTGGGTTCTTCCTGCCCCCCACACCCCGATTCTGCTCTTACCCTAGGCCCTCAGAAGGTTGTGACAGGGGACTTAGTGAAGAGGAGAAGGGAGGAGTGGGTTTGAGTGGGAAGGGTCTGTCCTCAGCTGTGTTGGGACCAGCCCTTGAGAAGCCAAACTGGCCTATTGGAGGTCTGTTCTTTCCCTGGAGAAGACCAATAGGAGCCACAGAGAAGATCAATGCACGTTTGCGGGCCAGCAAGGACCCCAATTTTCACGAGTAGAGAATGCAAGCCAAGCATGCAAAACATTAGAACATTCTGCCCAAGAAGGAACCAAATACCGAGACTGGACCCAGCTGCTAGGCTCTAAGTCGTCCAATTAAAACTTTTGGGTGTCTTCCCTGTCCCCAGCATCAGGTTAGTGAAGTTTGTTCTATTTGAGAAAAATGATCAATACAGCAAAAAAGCTTCACTGCTCAAGTTCTCGCTTATGCTGCTTCCAAAAAAAAAAAAAGCTTTTAAAAATATTTCTATTCTTATTTGAAAATTTTGCATGCATACAATGTAATTTTATCATGTTTACCCCCCACCTCTCCCCTAACTCCTCTCAGGTACAGTCCTGCCCCTTTCTCCCAACTTTGTGTCCTTTTATAAAATAACACACTGTCCATATGGGTGTGAGGCCATCCACTGGAGCGTAGTTGACCTAGCAAGTCACAACCTTAAAGAAAGGTGGCTCCCCCTCCTCCAACAGTCATCAGTTGTCATTGGCTCTTCAGTGGGGGTGGGGCAGGGTGGTTTGTGAGCCCCTCTCCACTCTATTCTAGAACTTTGACTGGTTTGATACTGCACACAGCTGCACACAGCTGCTCGGTCTCTTTTAGCCTTGCCCAGCCTCTAACTCCCTAGACACCCGAGTATGACACTGACTTCTGATATCCCTGCCCCTACCTCCTGAGTACTGAGATTACAGGTATAAAACACAATATCCAGTTTATGTGGTGCAGGCGCTCGAACCCAGGGCATCGTGAGAGATAAGCAAGCACACTACCAACTGAGCCACAGCCTTAGTCTGGTTTCTAAGTGCAGACCTGCATGTCTGCACTCTGTGCCAAGCACCGAGAACACAAGTACTCTAAAGAATGAAGTCTAGGGCTCTGTGTATAAAGCACTTGCCTGCGCATTTGGAGTCCCAGCAGCCATTTAAAATCTGGGAGAGTGCGGTGGTTGCCTAAAATCTCAGTGCTGGTGAGGCAAAGACAGGATCCGTACTGCAGCTGGCTGGATTGTGGAGGTCCAGGTTCAGTGAGACCCTGTGACCTGGTTTGTTTTCAGTTGTTGTGATAGCAACCATAACCAAAAGCAACACTGATGTGAAATTCCCCTCTGTATGCTGTGACTATGTCTTATTACCATTGGTTAATAAAAAAGCTGTTCCTGCCTATGGAAGGGCAGGATAGAACTATGCAGGAGAACCAAATCTGAGCTCAAAGCCAGGTTTCATGTCTATTATGCTTTTCTGACTCAAAGTCTCTCAGTTCCTCATGAGCAAGTGTTGAAGCAACCCATCTCAAGGAAGAAGATCTGACTCTCGGCACTCAGAGTCCACGCCCACAGCTCTGTCCACTCTTCAGACACTGACCACAAGTCCCAGCCGCTTCACCTGTGCTTCTGACCCACAAGCATAAGTCAGGGTTCTGTGGGTTCAATTCATTGCCCTAACAGATTGTAGAATTCAGCGGGAATTGTAAGGATGAACTGCAAAGGTTGTCACGATGGCTATAGATGGACAGGTACGAAATGTGAGGGACGGCGAAGGGGCACAGCTTCCATGCCCTCTCTGCCCGCCTCGGGAATCTCCACATCTGTTTCCTGGAAGCTCTCAGAACCCTGTTTTTGGGGGAGGGGCTACGGAGAGTCTAAGACAGACATAATCATTGTCCTCTGGTGGTCAGCTCAACGTCCAGCAGGCCCTCTCCTTCCTTGCAGGTTAAACACTGAACCTTCCAAGGACCAACTCCATTCTGAAGCTCTTTAGGGGGCAGTCAGCCATCAGTCACTCTGTACAAAGAAACACCTCTGTAGAGATCCCACGCATATTTAAGTACTGTACACCAAGGAAAGAATGGAGTAGCAACAGGAATTCCACAATGGCAAAACCTGTTATCACTCGGGTTAAGTCATAACCTACTGACTGCTTTGGGAAATCCTGCTGAGTCTCCAGAAATGTGCATTCTGAGTTGCTAGGGGAGACTGAAAAAGCATCTTTTGAAACAGTGTCTAGCTGGGTGGTGGTGGCGCTCGTCTTTAATCCCAGCACTCGAGAGGCAGAGACAGGCGGTCTCTGTGACTTTGAGGCCAGGATGACCTAATGCAAGTCCTAGGACATCCAGAGCTGTTACACAGAGAAACCTTGGCTCAA